TGATGTCCGAAGCAAGGGGAAAATTATCGATAACCATTCAAAGAGAATAAAACAGGTTTATTGCACTTCTGCGTACAGCTGGTTTTAAAACCAAATCCAGTTCAAAGAAGTTCCACTTAAGTATTGAAGAGTGAAGCATTGTTTGACAGGTAAGTACTGTGGTGAATACCAAATCGCTCAGATATTGGCCGCAACTGGTCCATGAGTGAACCCCTCCATAAACTCTTCGAGGTGCTCAATATTCTCCTGAGGGTGTATTTGTCCATGTTACGTGAATTTTCACCTCTCAAAAGTTAAGCTTGTAGGCAAACGCATGCCAGCTAATCACTGATAGTAACGGGTTCCTTGCAGTATGTTAAAATTAGAGAATTAAGCGATGACATATCGAAGGTATTGTTTTCTCCTCACATTCACAAGGTTTCGTCTACCTTATAAGGTATGCCAGACGATTGTTACAGCATTGTTAATGGGAGCGGACAGGGAAGTCTGAGGAAGTCCGGATCAAAGAGAAAGCGATCTTTGAATTATGCAACAAATAGCTACGTTAAATGACTGTATGTTCTGCGCAACACCATTCAAAATTATCCGGAACTGTGCGTCTAATTTTACTGGGAAACTGAAATCTTCCATTCGGCTATCTTAAATCAAAAATCATACCGCATTTAAGCAATGAATGCGACCCATGCACCTGATAGCAAACCTCTGAACATCTACTTCCCCTGTAGTCCTCTTTTAGTCGAAAAAGATAAATCAGTGGCTAGTGGTGTCTAAACCAGCACCTTGTCTTTTGACCGCGTGTGGGGGAGGGAGATGGTTGTTCCATCTTCAACACTTCCACCGTGCACTTCAAAACCCCTTAGGGGTGAGAAAACATGCATTCACATTCATCCCCAACCCCCACTTGCAGTGCAGACTCCATAAACAAGACATGTTTTGTTACAGACAGGCTACCACCCGCTCCAGTCGCGTGTTCCGCTTGCCGCGTGCCCCTGAAGAACGTCAGTCAAATCGAGACTCTACGGTCAGCACGGGGTAGGTTAAGGAGGAAATATAGCGGGTAGCGCTCAGACAGCAAGCGCACTTTGCAGGGGACAGCAAACCGGACGGGTGTCGCATGACAATCGGGAGTGCCTTATCATCTTAATGCAATACTGTGGGCTAGAATGCTCTGGATTATCTATGCTGCCGTAAAAGTGACAACCATGGAGGGAAATTTCAATCAAATGTTCTCTCTATATACATAAAAAGAGTCTGGGGTAAATAATTGTTCGATTGATACTACTGTGCTAAACGGTAGAGAACAGCAAGTTATTCAGAAATACCGTTTCACCCATTGTGTACATAAGGTGAACATAAAGCTTAAACCTTAAGATGCCGCACTGATCAAGAGAGAAGAGCTTATACTTCGTGGGTTTTTCAGTGATAAATGAAATTGCTTTATGTGGGTCATTTCATTGACTGTTGGAGCATAGCGAATGGAGTAAAGGGTGTAGGTTACAGGACACATCTGAATAAATTGAGAGATGTATCAGACAGTAGACCCAAACTTTCGGTGAATGATTTCCAAATGAAACCGCAGCAACACAGCGCGTTCAGCAGACTTCGTGAGGGCTAGAAAAGAAGAAGCCAGCTTTTCGGTAAAAATGCACAAGCCTCTAAGTGTTCGCTGTTGTGAGTAGACTGACAAAGCGATGTGACGTAGAAACTTCAAGCAATTCACTAAGAATCTATGACATTCTTCGTAGAAGCGGGATTTATGCTGCCATGCAGGGACCTTTAAATCTTTTATTCTGGAAATTACAATCTAAAATAATACTGCATTCAATGCAACCAAAACTGATTTACCATACACAGTTGTTTACGCATCCGGTGTATCGCAATGACTGTCTCAATGTGGTATTCATAAGAGAAGGTAATTGGGAATTTTCCATTGCTTCCTCGGGATCCGCCCGGAACACTGCAACATAATTATTGCTAGCGGAAAACGTATGTGATGTACTACCTAGAAATGTTTCTTTTCTCTTGATTCAGGGGTCAAAGCTAAAGTCAGCTAGAGCATACTCTCGGACACTTATGGAGATTTTGATGAAAACATGTCTAGCGGATGGATGGTCTTGCGATAATTTTGCAATGATCCCACATGTATAGATGCACCGAAGTTAAAACAACCAAGCTGAATTCAACCCCAAACAACCCGACCGGATTCAAGACATAGGTACGCACTGTGATTTCTCAGCATGAAGTCTAACTGGTCAGTTGGCTTTCAGCTCCGTCTGTTCTCAGTGCGCGTTTCAATATGGGTGTCGGCTGAATACATAGAGCCATAACTGAACGTAAAACTAGTAGTGCTAAATGCCATTGCGTAACAGACTCTTTAAACAACGAATGTCTTCGGAGAAGGCGCTGTGTCTTTCCTGCATAAAATACAGATTAACCGGTCATGCAATTTACACTATCAAGTTCTCGTAGCAGCAATTCTAGTGACGAACCATGTATTTAGACCAATTGCTTACAACGGACGCCGGATCATAGTTCACACCCGAAGCCGCATACGTGATCACGATTCAATGTATTATATATGCACATTAATAGGGCTCCCTTAATCCGTTCAGACAAATTAAAACATTATGACTGTAAATCTTACCTCCAGTAGATGCACAGCGTACCATTTCATGGCCTAAATAAGCAATACATACTAGTTGTTAACCTATCTTTAAATATGCTGTTTCTGGCCGCTTGTAAGCAGAGTGCATTGCGAAAGTATTCCATGATAAATATCATTATTTTGCTATAAACTCTGAACGGCCGTACTATTGAACCGCCATAGCAGGTCTAGTTTGGTTGTCGCTTTGCCTCATTTTGCCAAAAGCCACTGCAGCGAATACCAACTGGAAGGTCGTGAGATCTAGAGTCAAGGAGGACGATCGGCATTATGCTCAAAGAATTAATGCTGGAACTCATGAAATTCAATATAATATTTTCGGGACCAGAGCGTCCGGATTGCTTTTTTCAAACAACATATTTTGTGTTATATAACGCATCAATTCAAAGTGTACTGTGTTTCCATCTTATGGAAGCTTCGCGTTGTTGCCAAATATTTAGCTGCAAACAACATAGTACGCTGTACAAAAATGAGCATTGTGAAGTCGGCTTAAATAACTGATTAGGACAAGGTCGTCGGTACTCTCGGTTACTGCAAACTACATTTATGAACAGACCCATTATTAATGACCTAATTCAAGCGCGAGCCTGAGGTTTGTGTTCCAGTCAGAGTGAAATTACTCACACTTTATTTTCTCGGCCTGGTTACAAATCAGCTGTTGATATTCGTATACAAACTGCACTCCCCAATGCAATTGACTCGGACAACGTTCCTTCGAATTCAACAACAAGTCCGATCACTTGCTACGCCCAAAGCAAATGACTAAATGTCAAGTCATTTGTCACGCGTAAAACGCCTAATCACACTTTAACTAAATCTTCAACATCACGTTCATTTAACTTCTGTCCACCCTGGGTTCAAGCTGTGCATGTTCATCCAAGCGGTATCCTCTGCCTCAAACCGAAAGGAATCAGTGGTCACTCAAGTCTTCATTCTGGAGATCATTGGGGTCATTTTAAAGGAACTGCTTGACAGGTAGTGACCGATTAGAGGAGGGCTGGATCCCTAAATTTGTTTATTGGAAGTGTATAGGCGGATGCTATTGCTTTTGTCAAAGCCTTCTAACAAAGCCCTTTGCATCAACAACAACCACAACAACAGAGGATCACCAGCTTACCATAGACCATTATTTTAGGGCTCATTTCTTCTTAGTTTTGTCAGCTCTCTCCTTCTTGAGTTGACAGATTACAACCTAGGTTGGAGAAAGTGTTCCTCTTAGCAGGTGTCCGAGGGTGCATTGCCGAGCGACTGGAAACTCTCGGTAGTGAAGCCGATTCCAAATAGCTGGGACCCACGCACTGTGATCTATTACCGGCCGATTTGTCTCATCGCTGTTTGGGCGAAGGTACTCTAGAAGATTGTGAAAAAGCGTCTTCCCCAGTTGCTGGAGTCGAAAGATCTCCTAACGCCGGCACACCAGGGCTTCAAGAAGGACCGTTCGTGCATGTCCAACATGCACATGACGTGGGGTGAATGGTTGCGAGTGTTGAATCGGAGGAATTCAGTGGATATTATCTACATTGCTTTCAGTTAAGCTTTTGTTAAAGTGAACAATGAGGTCCTGTTTTACAAGCCGGGGTTGTGTGGTGCTGATGGATCACTGCACCAGTATATCAGCGACTTCCTTATAAGGCGATGGCATTTGTCATATCGCTCTTGATTCGCCTGGAATTTCCAGCGCTGCCCTGTGTCGTGCATGGATTTCAATCTGACCGAATAAATATTGGCGAAAACAGACACCACAAAAACGACCGCAGAATTCTCCTTGTTAATTTGTGTGTAATTTGGCTCCACTTGGAGCATAACACGAGAGGAAAACCCAACCGGTTTGTTTAGCCCACTCATCTCTGGTTGTATCAGGGCGGCGATCATCCGGTACAGCGATAAATCACTTGTCAATGTTCTGTTATTATCGTGGTCAAGGTGGGCCTAAATTGGTGGACCGGCCAATCCAAATTTAGCTTGGCGAAAAGGCAATTAATTCTTCACATCCCACACCCACTGATCGCCCTTGCAAAACGAACGATGCAAGGGGTACAGCATTGGGGCTGCTTGCCGAACATACCTAGAGTAGGTTTTAGATATATCCCCAAGAACTAGCAAAATTCATGTTGGTTTTGGTTGTCCGGACACAAGAATAGGCCGAATTTTCTCATTAATCGTCCTCAAACTTCCGAGCTGCAGCAAAAAGGAGATAATCAACACACAGTGTCAATAATATGCATTGTTGACTTTTTAGTCCAAAACGCTTCTCCTTCAAGCGATCCAGAACAACTCGCAGAGTTTGCAGATATTCCTCAATTGTTGCTCCCGTAAATAGGATATCGTCCATTTATACGCAAGTATTAGGTAACCCTGTCATGATATATTCCACCGTTCGCTGGAAAATTGCTGCAACCGAGTGGATGCTTTTACACCTGCACAAACCCTGATGTGTACTGATGGTTGTTGTTGTATTGGCTGTTTCAATTAGTTCAAACTGCTGGCAAACTTGCTCGATGTCTAAGATCGAAAAATATCTGATGGTACCGTGCTGAGCATAAATGTCTTCAATTTTCTTGATGGGGCATTTTTTAGCCAGCGTACTGCAGTTGCTGGTAATTTTGTAGTCATCACAAATACGAATAGATCCATCAGGCATGAGTATTGGAACAAACCAGAAACCTTACTGACTTAAATATGTCGCTCTTTTGTAGGTGATCAAGTTCATTTTCTATCTTCCTTCATACCATTTAGAGCATCGATAGAGTGTTGACGAATCGTCGTCATGTGGCAAGTGAAATGTGGTTATTAATTTTCCTACCGTCGGAATTTGCTTCTTCTGGTGTACAGTGTACAGCCATGTCCTTTTACGTACCGTGCTCTTAGTTACCACACTAGCGACGGATGTTTCGAACCTACCATAGCCCCTAAGATAGTAATAGGAAAAGTACGCTAAAGATCCCGGTTCCAAGAACCAGAATGTTCAGCGCACTTTCCTAGTTTGTTTTATTTTCCTCGACCAATGTAAGTGCCAGTGAAAACCAGAACTTAATGGCTCCTTGAGTATCAGTGGTTCGCGCACACATCAACTAATTCACAGCCTAGTGAATCCAAAATTCTAATGCGCCATTGCACTTTGCAGGACTGGTCACAATGGTCTTCAATTGCTACCACCCAAAACCGTCAGTGCTTATGCGGTGATTGAAGTTCAATACCCACGTTCAGAGTAAGAGCTTTTTAGCTGCCTCCTTTGTTGTCGAGCTCCGGAATTTGTCAGAATATTTTGCTCTCTGCAAATACCGAAACAACATGACCCGGGACAGTCTCGTGGTCGGAATGAAACCGTTCGCATTCAGCACTGCTTTTTGGCTGGTAACACATTGGTGTTGTAAATTGCCCATGATGTGTCTAGCGGCTTAAATTCCACTGAAAACAATACTCAGGTTCTGCAAACTTCACATCTCAATTCAAAGCCATGTGCTGAAAATGTCCTGACAGAATTTAAAAATTTGATTAAAACGCCACGCGTTCCTTCAATTAATATATTTGCTGCTTGTGGCACAGTCATCCTAGAGAATGCAATCGTGCTAAGCAAATGTGTGTCAAATGCGAATAACGTGGACATGTAGCCGGTCCAGTGCAAGTCCATATTTGAAATAAATGACAATATGCTCGGGGTGTGGATGCGGATTTTGAGCGGTTTTCCGAGCTGAGTAATTATTGTGCAGACGTTTCGTTGCCTGTCTAGGCAACATCATCAGTGCGGTTTCAGGGGCCTGGTTCGCAGGGCCTCGTAAGCGACTTCAATGTCCAAGTGCTTATTGATCGAGTTCTGCTTTGAATGCCAAGATTCAATGAACTCACGTGCTTGCCGGCTTTCCGCCCTTCCGAGGAAGGGCTAAAAGCCGGCAGAACCTGATCAATGAGCACTTGGACATTGAAGTCGCTTACGAGGCACTGCGAACCAGGCCCCTGAAACCGCACTGATGATGTTGCCTAGTCAGGCAACGAAACGTCTGCACAATAATCACTCAGCTCGGAGAACCGCTCAAAATCCGCAAATCCATATTCCCCAGTTGTAAACAAACAATACGTTAATGTTGAATCACAGCATTGCATACCAAAAAACTACCTCACTCTTTCAATCCCCATTTTGCATATGGGTTTTCGCTAACCAGATTCCAGGGAAGTTCAAAAGCGACACCGGCAGTGCAGTGCCCTTGTGCAACGAACTAACTTGTTCACGTAGGAACCAAATCTATGTGAGGCACCCCTGCGATTGCGTACATACACCACTGGCCAACCGATGCTGTTGAGAGTAAAAGAGGTTGAAGTATGATATGGAGTTATGACAACCCAAGGAGCCATATGCATCGCAAACGTAGATGGTCCACTTCTTGGTCGGGACTGGTTCGCTCAGCTCCCGGTTCTACAAATAAACCATCTTTCCTTACCATCGAAAATACAGGAGATGCTGTAGCAATGCACACTAGTCACATGCTTCGCCCGGCAGACCTTGGTTCATGATAACCAGTCACAACAACGACAATCACCGTTGTCGTACCTGTTTCCTACATGGAAAAAGCGATTGGGAATGAAGCCTTATTGCTTACGAAATGTAAGGTATTATTTGGCCGAATATTAACATCACGGTTCCCATTGTTTTTCAGGCGGAGCCTCAGTAATCTGTCTTTTTATCCATACTCAATCGTACTGTTTCAAAATGAGCACGTAGGTACAAGTATCCGACATGGAGGTGTTTGGGTGTTATTCTTTCAAACACTGGCACCCAACGACCTCGGTTTCGTCCTGTTTCGGACTCATCAGATAGAGATTACCTAGATTAGAACTCAGAGCCTGGTGGTTAACAGCTGACACCCTGATCACTATGCTACTGAGATCCGCGAACAACGCTTGGTACGGCCGAAAAAATTCAAAATTAGATGTGGAGAACCCGTCTTCTTATCGTTTGTTTGCGTGGCGATATACGTACTTTTAGGAACGCGTTTTGACAAAGTAGATCACCCATTCTATATTCATAACTGTTTTGGATTAAAATACCTAACCACCAGAGATTTCGAAAATAAAGGATTTGCCTTAAAGTCCAACAATTACTTAATGAATGATGCAGCACACATGGCCAGTGAACCTCAGTGACACCATGGAAACTGGGCAGCAAACAACTTCCGGGTATTGCGCAACCCGTATACGGAACACCGGATGAAAGCTAGTGTTCAGTGGACCCTTACGACATCGAGGCCGAAACATCACAATAGAATACCAAAGACTAAGCAATTGAAGCCCCTAAAGCTCCATCATATGAAATAAAGTCGGAACATTGAACTTTTCGGTACTAGCTTAAGATTAATAAAATAATAAATGTATCTTTATTACAGAAAGTTTAAGTGCCAGAATGTCTGCGAACATACTTCTTCATTCGACGGTGCCAACGATTAAACGCTCTCACTAACTCAGTTTATGTGTCTCCTATCTAGCCGATTTCCTAAATGTTTGCAAATCGTACCCAGCTCCAGGTAGTTGTTACTTGTGCGGATCTTTTGAAGTGTATTCCGGTAAACTAACTTTATTGGAATTATACCTCATGCTGATACGTCGATATGTGTGCCAACAGAGCAACGTCGGATGTATTGTGCTGTACCACATACCTTCATGTAGATGCCGCACATGCAGTGCAGTTCTTGACAGGAGGCTCTGCCAGGTGCAGGTACAATGAAATCGGAATATCCTTCCAAAATCTTTCGTAAAACATTCCACTCTGATGAGCAATGAACAATGGAACAATGGTATGACACGGATTGACAAGTCGCGTGGGATTGTATGTGGGAATAACGTTACTTCAAAATATCTTGCACAGAGTGACAAAAGCACATGTGGAATCAACAAATCATCCATGTTAAAACAAAGGTATATCCATCTGACACGACTTCATGGGGTTGATGAGACCAATGTTTGCCTGCGCCACGTCATCACTCAATGAGTAGAAATAAGATCAAGTAATGTAGGTGGTGTAAATCATCGTTGAGTCGATTTTCAAAAATGGGTAGAGTTGGCGCAGAAATTACAAAAATCGAAGAGCTTTCCACAGTTGATAAAGCTGAAGGGAACAATACTTCCGGCGACACTCCAGCCGAATGTATTGGGTGACCAAGTTTAACTTATGTCCCCTCAGTTCCATGTTAAGGCTAAGCTTTAGGAGGTGGCGACAGCCGTGATCGGGGATTTTTCAAGATTTGGGGCGCCAGGATGTGGTCACGCTGTAGACGGCGGTATCTGCCATTGTACACTTCCACGGATCGCCGTCGTGTTACTGCAGAGGGACAGAGTTTTCAGAGTTTTCGTTGCTCTTCCCTCGACGGTCTCCAGTGCAGCCAGATAGCTTTTTAATCAGGGTTGTCAAGCGCTGATCGCGTACTCTACATGGGACCTCACATCTGCATTGAGCATTTGGGGGAAGATGGAGGGATCTAACCGCTCGAATGCCCTACGTAACAGACCAACATTTTGTTTCGCTGTTTTGGACGTCTTCAAAGACTGCAATGAACAGCCGAGTTCATCTCGCATCACCACTCCAAGGTCTCGCTCTTGTGAGCCGGTTTTCAGCATGTAGTCTCCGGGTTTATTTGCGTAAGTGGGCTTGTGGTGCACATGCACTGTTTTGAAATTGTCCGTGTTGGAGGGAAATAGATTTGCCTGTGACCATTCAAAGGTGTGACCTATGTCTCGTTTCAGCATACTGTGATCTTCCTGACAGCCGACTGCCCGCCATAACTTGATCTTATCGGCAAAAAGCAAGAAATTTTATTTGATGACACTCGTAAGTTCATTAACGAAGAACGAGAATAACCACAGACCCATTACCGATCCTTGTTGAACAAAACAGTCCACATTAATTGGATCAAAATATGAGCCCCGAACTGGATCCTGAAGGCTCCGCTGAAGAAGGAAGTTACTGATTCATTCAAGGAAAGTGAACGCTGAGATAATTAGCATGACGAAAGATGGTAGGCTTAATATCCACGATTTTGCTTCTGCAGTATTGACACTCTAATATCACGCATTGACTTGAACCCAAGTATATCATAACAATGGTTGGGATTTCTTCATCGCTGTCGCATGTGCTAAGCAGTGCCGATCTTTCATTTTATCCACGCATCATTTCACTCGGTGAAAACTGGCTACGTCCAGCTCCTGCCTACCGTTTATCCGTAAATATATGGGTTTATTGCTTTATGCAACATAACGGGAAATATTTTACACGTTTTCTCAGTCACATCGAAACCAGGAATAGACATTGTATCCGCTGGGGAAACGCAAAGTGCATGATGCTGGATCTTCACCATACAGGTGGATCCTAACTGTATCCGTGGTGCAACATCTTTAGCATGAAAGCTGAACTAAAAGTTTTATGGGCACGAGATTCAGAAGCTGTGACTTCCACAGTACAATTTCTACTTTCAACCTGTCTGGCGAAATTACACTATAAATGTAAAATGGATCATTCTTTATTCCATGATCAACTAGCTAAGTCATACCCTCGAAGTTCGCACTAATTTTTGACATGCAATTCTTGGCTACTTTATTAGAGCCATACGTTGACCTGTTCTTCTGTTACAATCGTTTCGCTGGATAGGAGGCATT